TTTTTTTTTTTTTTTTTTTTTTCTTCTGTCCCTTGACTGACAACAAAGAATTGTTGTTGTTTATAAAGACTCATAAAATTTGTACATCTTCAAAAATTTATTATTTATGTGCTTAACAAATAAAACGGGAAAAAAGAAAAAAACGAACAAGGTTTTATTCTACTCTCTTCCCTCTCCCCCACTGCGCCTCAACACGCGGTTTTATGAAAAAAAAAACAGAATGGAACGGAACAGGAAGACTCAAAAATGATGAAATAAAGTAGACCATTAAACATAATGGCAGTGATATAAAAGCAAAAAAAAAAAAATTTGTTCCTGTTACTTTCAACCTGTCTTCTAATCCAATTCCCGTTATCATTCCAAACAAATTCAACAAACTTATTTGGCTATTAGTAAAATCAAAAAATATCCAGCTCCAAGTTTGCTGCTGTTCTCCTGAATAACTGCTGTGCGGTTATTAAAAACAAATAACGAGCGCTGCAAAACAAGTGAGTGTAAAAGGGCAAAGGTATTGTCACCAAAAAAAAGAAAAAAAAAAGTTTTTTCTCTTGTTTTTATTTCTTAAAAGACACAAAAAAACAATGCAAAGAAAAGTTAAGTAATGTCTAAAATAGGATGGAGATGATTTAAATATTGTAAGTCAGTTTAAAAAAATATGAGTGCAAACAACATATACCAGACGCCAAAGCAAAAGAAGAAATAACAGAACATGCATTAGAATTCGATTAAACCAAACTGAAAAATTGTTTATAAACTTTCATGATGGATTTTTAACTGCTGCAAAAAAAAAAAAAAAAAAGCGATCTTTGTTTGAAATGGTAATGTTCAAGCAAAAGAAAATGCGATTTTTTCTTTTACTCTTTAATTATAAGGCGCAAAAACTATGGAAATATATTAGACGAAGTAAAGAAAATGCTTTTTCCAAGAATTCTTTGAACTTCGATAAGGTAATAGTTTTTTTTTTTTGCAAATGATTGATCAGTTTGTTCAATTACTCGTTTATTTTCTGCACTCTTGGTATTCTTAGTTGTTTTTTTTTTTTAACCTTATCCTCTCCCTTCTATCCCGTTTCTCACCCAAATTTCAACATACAAATTTCTGAAACATTGAACTTTTGTCAGCTGACAAACGTTTCTTCACTGAGCAACCGATATTTGGAGTACCAGGTGTATTTTTGCAACAACGACAGCAATAACAGTAATAACCGAAGAACAAGGAACTGGAAGATAAATTAATGTTGATAAAGATGAGAAAAAATTGAGGAAGTGAAAAATAAGCAATCTATGTTCCTTACCAGTTCCTCTGTATCTAAACAGCTTTTTTTTTTTTTTTGTTTACTTACACTAAGTCACCCTCAAATTACAAAAAAATTTTATATCTGCAAGAAAGAGCTATTTATTTGGCCCAAAATCTCAAAAGTGTCGTTTGCTGAGAGTTCTGACGTATTCATCTGTCTGAATTAATGTTTCAGAAACATCTCAAGAAAAAACTTGTAACTCTAGTTTAATGTATCGTAAAAGAGCTAAAAATTATGAGTAAAAAAAGCAATGTTAAACACGTTATGTAATTTCAATTAGCCGATAGCATTGTAATAAACTGAGACGTAATAGATGATTACATTCCTATACGAACTGGTTATAGAAGAGAAAAGACATAGGAGAGGAAAAAATTGAGGATAAAGCAGAATGTAGGAGAACTGCACAAATTGATTGGAAATGACATAAACATGAAACAACCATCACGACTTTACTGAACAGGAAAGTTTATTTAACTATTGTCTCATTTTGTCCTTTTTTTTTGCTTTTTACTGTTGCTTTTTTAAACAGTAAACAGCAAAAATGAAACTGGTAATTAAAAGTTATGTTTTTTTCTTATTTTTATGCCATCAAAGAATCACAGAATAGGAGAGGAAAAATTGAGGATAAAGAAGAATGTAGGAGAACTGCACAAATTGGGCTTAGTCTTTGAGAATGTATTGTTAAATCGCCAGGCAGGCTCAATATCAGTATCGTGCTGGTGAGAAATTTCAAATAGTTACCGGCGCAAACTACTGTACGCATAGGAGGGTAAATCAGTGAACTGTATGGAAGAAGTGGAACGGAAGTTGCGAAAAGATGTTTGGAGAACTGGTATGAGGAAAATTTAAAAAGAAAAGAGTAATCAGCTGCTGACAGACTGAAAAAATATTTGGTGAGTAAGAATGAATAGTTTCTTACACACAGCCAAAAAATTCACAGCATTCACCAAGTATCA